TTAAAACAATATTTAACAGTACACGGCAATGTGCAATCTCATTTGCAATGATAAATACCCGGTCGTTTGAAGATGATTTTCAAAAGTTTGTAATAAATTTTTCTGCAAATTGATAAACGATCCGCATTTTTTTGCACTTAAACTGCTTTACTGTGTATAATTGTGTGTGAACTTTAATTGAAAATTTAAAAGAAGGCGAAACTCGAATAGGCATTTAGTACATGAGCACCGTTAACCTAGTATTTGCAGTATCTGCAGCTTCCCCCTTGATAATTTGTTGATTGCATTGTTATCAGCGTTATAAAATAAACTGCACCGAACACAATAATATCACACTCAATAATTGATAAATTAAAATCACTGTCAGTTTAATAACGCAATGTGTATTTGAAAAGTTTATCAGATCTACAGATGCACCCGCACTAAGAGAAAAATGTCGAATTCAAAGTGCATATGTGCGTCCCAAGCCTCAAGCGCGGAGTGGGGCTCGCCGTGACCGAGAAAAATCGGTTTACCCTCCCATAAAAAGTTATCACTTCAATAAGGTATCTATGGCTTTTGGCCGAAACGGGAAAAACTGAAAATTTTGAAGAACCTTTTAAATCAGTGTCCTGTAGATTGTTGTTTCCTACGAGCTCTAAGAGCTCGTTTACACGAGGATACAGTTACCCGCTGCTTCTTCGCAGATCGAAATCTCCGATGCCATTTACATTGCGAGATACTCATCGCAGAATTGTAGCAAGACAGCAAAGAAGTAGCCGGGTTCTCATAATTAACCAGTCCATATATGAACAGGTCCATAAAGGCCCATAGAAAATCGGCCCCGGAAGTCGTAAAATTGCCAGAACGACTGGAACTCACGGCTGATCGAAATTTACTTGCCGAAACTGATTGTGAAAAGTATCCCTGAGTGTATGGTTCCATAAGGCTCTATGTTAAACGGGTATCCGAAGCAATAGTTGCCGGGTAACTGTATCCCCGTGTAAAAGGGCTCTTAAAGACGCTTAGCTTGCTCCTATGCAATATGCAAGTGTACATTCTGCTCGTTATGGGCCTAAAACTAGCGTAGGATTTGTGCCGCTCCACGTCACAACCAGTGAAACCGCTCTGGCTTGACGTCATTTTAAAAGCAAATCTGGTAACTTTCGTTTCCTTTTTTTGATATACATTTTTTTTTTGCTTTTGGCTTTCTTGTAGACGACCCGCACGCTATGTTTTGGAGAAGTTTCAACCAAAAAATTGTTTTGCGCAACGACCCTATTGTTAACAATCGCAATTCTCATTTTTGTAATAAATAATTAGGTTTTTAAAAAGTTCTCGGCTCGTATTGACTGTTAACTCACGTCTCAATTTTGTCGCTACAGCAGCGAAGGAAATAAATTAAGTATTAACTAATAGAATGAAATTATAGTTTATCCGTCGAAGATTTTTATTTTATCATCGAGAAAATTAAAGTATTATTTCCTAGTGATAAAAATGTTCAATCCGTCCGGTAATCTGGAACGTATCGGTTTGGGTATCGCGCCGCGTAAACGCGTACGCTCTCACGCAAGTTGTCTTCGCAAAATGCTAATACTTTGACGATGTCGGTCATTTCTTTATTATAAAACCCCAGTCGGATGATTTGTGAGGTTGATTGACAATTAATTGTCTCGCTTATCACGATTTGTGCAGTTAATGTCTACCATTGCTAAGTGGCAAGAAAACAAATAATTTTTTTGCGCAAAAACTATGAATGCTTTACAAAGAGCACAAAAATGTGAAGAAATGATTAGTGCATCAACCAAAAAGAAATGAGTTGATTCAATCCACTAAATAAAAAGTTGTGGTAGTTTTTGTACCAGGACACTCAAGAATTCACCACTTATCCAAAACGGATTAACTCGATTGATTCATCAAAATATGAGTCTTACGTAAGACCATTTCACAGCGAGTTTCGTACCATTCTCCCGCTATTTTAAAAAAAGATATAATTTTTTATAAGAATTTTGACCATCAATAGCAGAGAAGCCAGACATGTTTTGTTAATAAATTGATATCGTTTTGATTCGAAAAATATCGCAGTGCCCTTTTGATCCTGTGCTTACGGGGCACCCTGTATATTTTTTTTACTTTCGAATATCCCAATAAAATAATAAATCCGAATTATCCGGATATTCGGATTTATTATTCAGATATCCGAAAATCCAAATTATCGAAATAGAATTCTAAGTCTTATTTGAGATCCATTTTTTGGAATGTATAAAAATTCATTCTTCTAATTAATTTCCGTTTAACGTATAATTTTGAGCTCTACTTTGCAAAGAAATTTTTATATTTTAATGCCCAAGTTTTTTTTCGATGTCGAAAATATGTATAAGGTTTGGAATTATTTTTAGCGACAATCTTCAAGAATCAAGCCATCAAAATACCGCAGGACTTTCTTCGCCCAGTATTCCGCGAGTTACTTCTGATGTTTTGCCAACATATAGATCAGTTGGGTATGTATTTGTTTAATATGTTGCCTTTTCGTGTAAAACCATCGTTTTTCTATACAAACAAAATACTATTACAGGGTAACTACGTTGGCAATTAACGGAAAATGTTATAACCATAGTTTGGGAAATAATGCACAAGTCATAAAAAAATGTGAAGAATGTGAAAAGAACAATAAGGCAATGAAAAGAATTTTCACCGAACGGCAAATAAAAGTGTTAGCAAATCCTCATGTACGGCCCATTTGGTCTGCTAAAGAAATCAGTGAAGCAGAAGCCATTCATTCAGCCGGACCAAATGCATATCGTTTACTTTTAGAGAAGGGGTATCCATTTCCAGCAATCTCCACATTAAAAGTTTGGAGAAGAAAAAATAAAATTGCATCTGGAATCAAGTCTTAAATATCATTAAAAGAGGTGATTTGTCAGAGTGGCGACGCTTTTACGTGCTTTCATTTGATGAAATGAAACGTTGTGAATCATATGCTAAGTAAAGTAAGGAAAAATAAAGTAAATGATGAGTTGCTGTGACATTGAAATTACGCTCAAGAGTAACCATCATGATACAATGAATACAAGGTAGGATATTAATCGGTCAAAAACTCGATTTTCGTGCGCACAGGATGGCGCTGGTTACCACTTTGGTAAAGTGAACAGCTGATCCCATTTAAAATGTATGTAACCTAGACAAATTTTCACTGAATTCAAAACGCAATAGTTCAAAAATGGAAAGTTATATGAGGATATG